AATAAAACTTTATATTGCACAATAAAACTGTGAGGACTATAATAATATTCACACCAAAGTTATTAGATAACTAGACTATATTTTAATTGCATGAAAGATTTGTAACTATTAGATATTATCATATTCATGTCTTACACTTTTTTCATTGCATTCTTATTCTCAAATTAATATAGGTTATTCATGATTATGATTTCTCTCCAAATTTTTCTTTAAGTTAGAATAAAAAGACTCATTTGCCCATTGCATTTTTAAATAAGCAAAATAAAAATTAATGCAAAAATGCGATTAAATATTAGGTCCTTGTATTAAAGCACGTTAATAATATTTTTGGAAGAAACCCATGATTAAAGACTGGATATTCTAATTAATAAAATTTTAAAAATAATAATGTAATAAAAAAACATGGATATAAGTGTAATAAAAAATAAAAATTAATGTAATAAAAATGTGATTTATTTATAAAGAAAAATGTGGTGTGAATATAATCACTTTTATAATAATTGTAAACTGAGAATGTAGAAATTTAGTGAAAAGAAGGAAGAGAAGCAAGGTTTACATAGAAAAAACATGATCATTTTTTAAAAACTAGTGGTAATCAAGTCCAGGGCCGGTCCTGTAATTGTCAGGATCCGAGGCGAAATTTATAAATTAGGCCTCCCAAAAAAATTTGACCTTGTTAGCCACTGCCTGCTGATTGTGGCGAAGAATAAAGAAGAGGAAAAGACGGGCACGAAAGAGAAGGAAGAAGAGAAAAAGCCCAACTAAAAAAAAATAATAATAATAATAATAAATTACTGACGTTTCTTTTACATCATTTCACACCCACAAAAAAAATAAAAATAAAGGGGCCAAATGAGGCCCCTTCAGTTTTGGGCCTGAGGCGATGGCCTCTGCACAGAACCGGGCCTGAGCACGTCCATAGCATATTTTAGGTATGTAATATATATAAATATATAATGTTTTGTTTACTTATTTGTTTATGCTAGGTATTGGTTGAACCCCTATTTTCAACCAGTGCAATGACATCAACCAATTTTGTGATATAGACGAACATGAAAAAAAATCGAATTAAGAGATATACATATCTAAATTTGAAATGTTTATTTACAAGTAAATTAAAGGTACATAAATGATTTTAAAAAAAAAAATTACCCATATCATCTGTAATATAAACCTTTTTATTTTAAAAAGTAAAAATAAAAAAATCTTATCTAAGCATAATTAGAAACAAAAAATTACGTATTAATCATGCTCGTCATATTAATTGAATGCATTTATTTTAAAAGTTACATTCAAAAAAATATAGAAATGAAAAATTTTAAAACAAAAATTTTCATTCTAATATAAATGGAGGAATACAAATTCTCCATTTAAATGTATCAAGATAATAAAAAAATGAACATGCAATAATAATAAAATACCGAATACTATATTAAATATTTATTAGAACACATAATATTAATTTTTGTTAATACTTAAAATTTTGGTTTAAGTGAAACAGGAGTAATTGAGATGCGAAGCTTGTAATTAGTGGAGTGGATACAAATATGGGAAGGATAAAGTAACTACTTATTATTAGGAAAAATTAGAAAGTTTTTAAGATTGAAGGATAATTCTTCCTATCTTCGACTTTTTCACTCCTAACTACCGATCACATTTAAGCAATTTTTTTCTTTTCAATTTATTGTCCTCTGTATTCAAATAGTTATATTATCTATCATATTAATTTGACATGCAATTTATAATCTTTAGATGAAAATGTTGATTATGTTATATAAAGACAAAAAACTAATTGAATATTTCTAATTTATCTCTACATTTTTTTTTTGGGTAATTATATTACCACTAGGAACTTTATTAAGTGCACTACAATTTTTAGTTTTTTTTTTTATTGACTAAAATAGCTTCAAGTAAAATTACATAATTAGATATTTAATATACCTTTTAGTAAAACAAATTATTGTTCCACCACAAACACAAACTTAATTTTTTATTTCTTTTTCATCAACATCAGACTACACATAGCTTTTTCGTTGACAGTGGCTTTTGCTTTCTGCCACGATGGCAATATAATTTTCTTTTCATCATGATAAAAGGATTTACGATTGATGTTAATTTTTGATACAAATGTTGCTCATATTTGAAGAGTTTGTCAATGTAAGAATATTAGAAGGGATGCAAATTATTGTAAGGAATATCATCAAGACAGGTTTTTCCCCAACTAAAATTTGATGCTAATGTTCTGAAATCTGGAAATTGTGTAAACGATTTTCTTCCCTTTGGAACCGTCTGGCTTGATTCTAATTAAATTTAAATTTATCATAATAATCATGTGATGTCTTGCTCCATCCATTATATCCTTGCCATAGCTACAGGTTTAGAAATTAACATTGATCAAGAGAACGACACACTAAAGGGAGGGAAGGAAGGAAGGGAGAGAGAACATTGCCTTGAGAAAATTAACTAAAGGGTATTTACTTGATCTTCAAAATCCTTAGTAATTGGGAAACCAATTTCAAGGGTGAATATGGCCTCTTGCCCTTCTTTGATCTTCCAATAGTGCACCGTGTTCCCCATGGTAATAAAGAAGAAGAAGAAGAAGAAGAAATTAGACTTGTTTGCTTTCGAAAAATCTATAATGGGGACAAAGGATGAGAAAAATGAGAAGTAATATTATGATGAAGAGTACACCACAATATGCATTTTTTATTTTTTCATTTTCAATTTTTATTGGATTATGAGTATAATTGTGATTATAATTTGGTGTAATAAATAAATTTTGTGGTAGTAATATAATCACCCTTGTAATTATAATATAATTATATAAGTAGATGAACATTGATCTTTAATGAAGCTCACATATATAAATAGTAAATAACATTAAATATATACATCTACATATGAAATAATATATTAAAGGTGACAGTAATGATATATTAATTACAATTCAACTTCATATATTCTCCTTTTAAATATAGAGCTCATTTTTTATTTTGGAGTAATCATAATTCTATATCAATTAAATTAAGTTTAATCACTTAAAATCAAAATTCGTCTACGTACATAATTATATTAAAATTATAATAAATATTTTTTATATTGTAACTAATCTACTATTATATTAATGCAACATATAATATATTATATTATATAATTATAATAAAATTATATCTACATATTAAGCTTTGATTTTATGTAGTAAACATAATTTAAATAATGTAATTTAAGTAATTAAATTAAATTTGATTAATGTAAAATTCGAAGTACTCTAATATAAAAAAATGAGCATTACACTTAAATGGATATTAAATGAAGTTAAATTATATTAAATATATAAAGATAGAATTGACATATAGTTAAATATATAAGGGTAAAATTACTAAATTAGTACTTAAAAGTTTCTCCACAATTCGCACTTTTAATATATTGCAGATAAATTTGGACAATTGTTGGCCAAGCTGTAAAAAATAAATTTGTAGTCCACGAGCCACTAGCCAACTCGTGAACTTAGCCCACGAGACCAAGACGAGCTGACTATAACAATTGATCTCATTTGATTTGTGAAAAATAAATTATATTTGATTCATTTCAGTACTTAAAAGTTTCTCCTCAATTCACACTTTTAATATATTGTAGATAAATTTGGACAGTTGTTGGCCAAGCTGTAAAAAACAAATTTGTAACCCACGAGCCACTAGCCAACTCGTGAACTTCGCCCACAAGATGAAGACGATCCGACTCTCACAATTGATCTCATTCGATTTGTGATCGAGAAATTATATTTGATTTGATTCATGACTTGTCACAAAACGAATTTAAATTGGGGAAAAATTTATATTTCAAGTGTATTCTTTACACCATTTCAAAAATTGGGTAAGAAGTTTGAAAATTCAAAATTCAGGTTTGTATTTAATTAATTAAAAATATTTATAAAATAAATATATTAAAGTCATAGTTAAATAATTAATGGTTACAGATTTATTTACTGGTCACATATCATCAATTAATTGGTCACAAATTTATTTACTGGTCATATATAAAAAAAAATTATAGGTTATAAATAATTTCGAGGTCACGAATAAAAATTTTTAGAGGTCACGGATTTTTTTAGTCACGGATTATCAAATTTCAAGATCACAGACCAAATCGTTAAGATCACAAATTGTCAGATTTTAAGATCACGTGCCAAATCGTTAATCACATATACCAAATACTCCATTGCCGAACCCAATCTATGACCAATGATTGGTCACAAAGCAACCAAATGATCACAACCACCACCACTAACACCAACAATGTTGCCACCACTAGATCCAACACATTGCCAACAAAAATACCACAACTACCACTATGAGATCCAAACACACAAAACTCCCAAATCAGCACAAATACACCACAGATCGGCCACCTCTACCACCTGCGCTAACAACCGTCGTCATCGCCGTAGCCACAACAATAATTCTAAAACCACTAAAAACATAAAATCGCTGCAACATCGATCTGTGCCATCACCATGCCGTTACAGCCATCGCGCACAGCACCGCACTGAGATCTTCGTTGCCCCCACAGAACCGCACTCCCTCGCTACCACCGCAATCACAAAACTAGGACACCATCACAGCGTGCCGCTCTACCTTCCCCGATGGCGCCACTGCAAGGCGCCGATCAACCGGCTAGAATAGAGAGGGTGTGGGTGGGGAGAGGGATAAAGATGGAATGGAGAGAGGGTGGTAGAAGGGAGAGAGATCTAGGGTTTGCTATATAAGAGTTGAAATCGACTTCTATTGTGTTTTAATTTAATATTTAAATATATAATAATTAAATTGAAACCTGAGATTTGCATAAACAACATTGGAACCTGATTCTTGTACTGAGATCTCCAAAACTTGGGATTATGTAATTCTCATGGGTCAAGACCGATGGGCCGAGTCCACGAACTGCTCAACCCATTTGTGACCATAATCAAATAGCAGCCAATTCCAGTTCTCGGATCAAATCCAACGCGCAAATTCTTCCGGAACCCAATTCTCCATTTAAATCCACCTCTGTGTTCGCTCTTTATTCCCATTTACCTTTTCCGTCTCTCTCTCCCTATCTCTCTCTCTCTCTCCCTCTCTCCCCGCCCCGGTGTTGCAGCAAATATAGCGAGAAAAAAAGGGCCTCCATTACGCTCTAGCCCCCAGCCCACCTAATAATCTCTCTCACGTACCAAAATAATCAGCTCAATTAATTTCAGATCGCGCTTTTAAGCATTCTCAGTTGTGTATTTTTACACAGATCCGTTATAAATTTTCTTTTATTCGAAGCAGATCTTGGTTACTTTGACTACAGAAGGTATAAATCAAGAAACTTTTTTGATGTGTTCTCATTTTTGAAGTTATGTGTTTTTCAGCTGCGATGCTGAAATTTTTGTATATTAAAATGAAGCTGAGCTAAAAAAAAAATTATGGGTTCTCATTTTACTAGTTATATGAGGTTTTCTGCTAACTAGGTTTTTCGAATTTTTGCATATGAAGGTGATAATAAGCTGAAGATATGGCTCCGAGCACAATTCGGAAGGCGATCGGGGCGGTGAAGGACCAGACGAGCATCGGGATTGCCAAGGTGGCTAGCAACATGGCGCCGGAGCTCGAAGTTGCCATAGTCAAGGCCACGAGCCACGACGATGATCCTGCATCTGAGAAATACATCAGGGAGATTCTGCACTTGACATCGTATTCTCGTGGATATGTGAATGTTTGTGTGTCTTTGATATCTAAAAGACTTGGAAAAACCCGGGATTGGATCGTTGCCCTTAAGTGTTTGATGCTTGTTCATCGTTTGCTTAATGATGGAGATGCTATTTTTCAGCAGGAGATCATGTATGCCACAAGAAGGGGTGCTAGGTTGTTGAATTTGTCGGATTTCCGTGATGAGGCTCATTCAAATTCTTGGGATCACTCGGCTTTCGTGAGGACTTATGCTTTGTACTTGGATCAGAGGCTTGACTTGATAGCATTTGAGCGGAAACAGAGTGGAAATGGCGGTGAAATTGAGAAATTCGGGTCTAGAGACGAAAGATCTAATTACAGATCGCCTCCCGGCTCAAATCGGGGCTATGATTATGATTATAACGAGTTTCGGGATGAGCCAGGGTATGGGATGAGGAGATCAAGATCATCTGGGGACGTGAGGGAGTCGACAGAGGTGGGGAAAGATGTGACTCCGTTGAGGGAAATGAAGCCTGAAAGGATTTTTGGAAAGATGGGTCATTTACAGAGGCTTTTGGATCGGTTTTTGTCATGTCGACCTACAGGATTGGCCAAGAATGAGAGAATGATTCTAGTGACTTTGTATTCTATTGTGAAGGAGAGTTTTAAGTTCTATGCTGATGTATGTGAGGTTTTGGCTGTGCTCTTGGACAAGTTTTTTGATATGGAGTACCAGGATTGTGTCAAGGCTTTTGATGCCTATGCTAGTGCTGCAAAACAGATTGATGAGTTATCGGGTTTTTATGGCTGGTGCAAGGATATAGGTGTGGCGAGGTCGTCAGAGTACCCAGAAGTGCAGAGAATTACTAGTAAGTTGTTGGAGACTTTGGAAGAGTTTGTGAGGGATAGGGCTAAGGCTACAAAGAGTCCGGAGAGGATTGTGGAGAGCCAACCAGTGGCGGAGGAGGAGCCGGTACCAGATATGAATGAGATTAAGGCGTTGCCGCCTCCAGAGAATTATTCCCCACCACCACCACCTGAGCCGGAGCCTCCCAAGCCTGTGGTTCAGGAGACTAGAGATTTGGTGGATTTGAGGGAGGAGGGAACAACAGCAGATGATCAAGGAAATAAGCTGGCTTTGGCATTGTTTGCAGGGCCAGTGGCAAACAATGGGACTGGCTCCTGGGATGCATTCCCATCCAATGGGGAGCCGGAGGTGGTTTCTGCTTGGCAGAATCCAGCTGCTGACAGCGGTAAGGCTGATTGGGAACTGGCCCTGGTGGAGACTGCGAGTCATTTGTCTAAGCAGAAGGCAGCAATGGGTGGTGGGCTCGATCCTTTGTTGTTGAATGGGATGTATGATCAGGGAATGGTTAGGCAACATGTGAGCACTGCTCAATTGAGTGGTGGCAGTGCCAGTAGTGTGGCATTGCCGGGGCCAGGGAAGAGCACAACTCCTGTGTTGGCACTTCCTGCTCCAGATGGTACAGTTCAGACTGTTGGACAAGATCCATTTGCTGCATCGATGACCATTCCTCCTCCTTCATATGTGCAAATGGCTGATATGGAAAAGAAGCAGCACTTACTAGTGCAGGAGCAGGTGGTATGGCAACAGTATGCCCAACAAGGCATGCATGGCCAAGCTACTTTGGCCAAGATCAATGCTGGTGGGTACTATGCTCCTGGCGTACAACCCATCATGCCTTATGGAATGCCACCGGTAAATGGAGTTGGACTACCCCCTGCCGGGTATTACTCCGCTCCTCACTAATATTTATTTATGTAAAATCTTTCCATACGTTTAGTTCATTCTTGTTATATTTTCCTGTTTTTCGACTGTATTTTATGTGATCATATCTTACAATTGGTGCATGAGAATGGAATGGAAAGAGGGTGAGGGAAAGAGAAACTGAGCTGAAGATATTGGTTGTGTGGTGGATTTTGAAGCCTGGTGCTCTGCGATTCTCTTGTTATGTCTCTTACTGTGTGTAATATCATGTGAAACTTTTTTGACATCTTTGTGATAATGCAATGCTTGTTGTTTGTTATTGACTCAGTTCAATTCAAGGAACTCGTTACCTAATTGTTTATGTTGATCAATGATGCTATATCTTTATACCCCATTTAATGCAATACTGCCTTGCTGTCTTCATTTTGGATCATTGTTTGAAAAATGCTTACTTTGAAAGCAGATATCTGTTTTCTCCAACTGGAGTTTAGGCTTTATTGTGGATATTTTTGTGGCGAACTTTTAAAATTGGAAATTGAATAGATCGTGTTGGCGTTCTTTGATTCTCCTAAGATCTCTTCATCAATATTTGATTTTCATCATCGTGTCTTAACTAACGTGTCTTAACTAAGTATTGTATTCGGCAACAATTATGCTAAATATGTTATAAAATCCAGGTAGAGATCGACTGGAACAAGCTACATTGATATTTTAAAATAAGGTTGATGAAGGGGAAAATGGAGATACAGTTGACTAGAAAGTTTATCTGTCTGGCCATCTCTAGGGAGTGTGTATTGCAAGCAAGCACGTTTGAGAGCCCATGGTTAGTTTTCATAAATTACATTGCTTGGTAGGAAGTTACTCAACTATTAGACAATCCCAATTGAAACTAGTCCGATACAAAGCTGAAGTAGAATAAAATTTTAGTTCTGAAAATGACATAGCCCCCCGATTCTTGTGATAGCCGATAAGTACTATAATTTCATTGTTTGTTTGTTATCTTGTTACATTGCTTGATAGAGGGTTAGTAGACTGTTGGACAGTTCCGATAGAATCAAATACAAATATATGTTTTACACAATTTTAGCACTGAAAGTGACCTATACTTTCTTATTGCCTTAAATAAATGAGAATTCTCTCGTCTCTTCGCATGTTTCGCCATAGTTATCCAATTTTGGTGTCATTCTCAACCTTAGACCAGAAGACAAGTATGTTTAGTTGGGCTTAAAAGTTACTTTTTCAGCATTCGAGAATAAGTTAAGATTTGCTTTATATAAAAGTAAGTTTTGTTGGGAAATAAACTAACTTTGACTGTCATATTACTCAAGTAAGCTAAAAAAAGTTTGATTTTTTAAGCATAACCAAACATACTCTTAAGGTGGAGATATATAAGTTTTCAAGCATATCTAGGTGAGGACAAAGACAACCTTCCATATTCTTGAACCTTTTCACCTTTTATAGTGTCTTGTTCTTGAATTAGGTGGCTTTTGTCAAGTTAGGAATAAAGAGCCCACTGGTTTTCCTCCTCTGCTAAGTATTTGTTTACATCACAAATAATGGAGTTGATCTCGCGTCAAATTCTTGATTAAAAAATAAAATTCCAAATAAATAGAATCCAATACAGGCAATATTCTTTTATAATCACTGGAAAAGTTGTTCAAGTTTCAATTATTGATAATTGGGTGGTACGTGAAAATATATTAATCTTAGTTATTGATGTTCGTGTTATTTGTGTTTTCGATTATTAACTGTAGACAGCATGCCACCGCAAGAAATGTCGTGTACTTAATTTTTTTTTTTTTATTTTCTAATTGATTCTGCCGTCAGAAGACCGTAAAAGAAGAATCGAAGTATAAATTTGAATGAGTCAATAAAGATAATTGCAACATGTGAAATGTGACTAGCTTTCAAAGTCTGAATTAGTTGTTCCAACCACATTGCCAGTTGCCCCATAGCTTGTATCCATTTTAATATTGTTGGAAAATTTAATGTTGCGTTACATCATAGTCACGTTGCAGAAGCTTCCGATGAGCGATCGATTCATTCATAATTGCCTCTATATAAAAATTTTATAAGCCCCTGTTTAATATTCACTAAATAAAAAAAAAAAAAAGTAATGCTTTTTAATCACATTAAAATTACAATTCAGTATTTAATGCTGCATTAACTTCATATAAATTGGAGTTGTAACCTGAGGTTAAATAGCATTATTCATAAATTAAAACTTTGTTCTCAAATTTATGTTTATTATTCATTTGCGCAATAAAATATTTTGTACGTAAGTTTAATTTTTTTTCTACTTTTTAATAACACATTTTTTATATTATCACTATTCTAAAATTCATTAATAGATGGATTTTAAAATATTTGAATGGATTTCAAATTTAAAAATACATATAATCAAATTTTTTGAGATTTCATCGTATTTAATGAGATTCTTGTGGAACATGTGGAAATCTAATTCAAATCCACAAAATTCATTAGGATTTAAAATCTTTTAAAATCCATTAAAATTATAATTGAGGTTATTTTGATATATGGTGTTAAAAAAGAGAGAAAAATAATATCTTCTTCATAGTATCGTCCAAAATAATGTTTCAAAATCGCCTTTAGAATATTCATTATTGGGTTTAATTTTCTATTGCATTTTTTTTTCCACCTGTCATTTTCAAGTGTTGGTAAAGCACTTTATGAAACAAATGTAAAATGTTTTAACACTAATTTGTAATGATAGTTAACCTAATTAATTAAATTGTTAAAAATGAAACGTCAACTGCAAATGTGGGCATGTACAGGTAATCCGTCCTACCTATGCAATTTTGATTAATCATTTAAAATTTTTATGGTCTATTCAAATTGATTAAAACTAAGATTTAATTAGTTCCATATGTACTGTTGTTTCGCGCGGGTTAGTCGTAAACAATTAAAAAGGGATCAGACGATTGTATAAGGGACAAACCTCTTGAGACAAAGTCCTAAAAATGGGCGTTTTTACTGACGATGACTTTACAATTGAAAAATAAAACAAAATGCCTCCAAGGGGCGCAA